GGGGAGGGGGGTGAAAACACACAGCACTAGTGCCCAGTGTTCAGGGGAACACATAACACAGGGGAACACAAAACGTTGTGACAGCAGTAGCTTTCATTGCAGGACAGTGGACTCTCATTCTGTTTTGGCCTAAGAACTATATCTTTGGAATGTTCCTAGTATTTCAAGCATGCCAAATATAGGAAAATGTCTAAAAAAATCTTTCAAAACAATAATAAAATTAAATAAAGAAAATAATTAAATTGCTCAAAAATTTAAGCTTAAGATAGAAAAATGATAGATTGTACTGGAAAGCTATTTGTTGCTGCCTGTTGAGCCCGAAACTCCTACTATGAGAATACGACAAACGATACAAAGATATACGAGAAAAGTTGATGATCTTATACTTACCTYGTTGCATGTGTTATTATAAACTGTCTGCTGGGACACGGTACAGTTTTCTTCTTGATCAGGTCGATGTGCTACAGCAGACGGACCAACAGCAGTAGACGCCATTTTGACCTGACGTTGGGCCCGTGATGACTAACAAGACGATCAGCGGATAACCAAACAAATGTACACAGGGATCCCTCAGTTATAAAGATCACTACTCTGAGAGCAGCCCAGGTTCTGTGAAGACTTCATAAAGCTTTTAGTGAAATTATGGCACAAATAGCTTTGATATCAACTCCCAGTGGATACAAAAAGGTTTGTAAACATTAATCTTTTAAAAATAAAAGAAGAAATTTGTAAAAATATCTCAGTCACTTGTGAGTTTATTTAGAGCAGAGAGCTGCTGAGTGGCAGGCTGGTCGAGGAGGGAAAAGGTTTTCTCCCCGACCTAAAGCCAGAACGGAGGGCAGAAAAATACCTCTGACAGCAAGGTAAAGAATACAGACGAACCAGGCTAGATGTTCCATTCTTGTTTCAGGGGGACCCCTCAATATTATATATAATATTTTGTCGTTATAAAATATATTTCCTGAAATATATAAAATAGTTTTCGAAAAGCCAATAAAAAGTAAACATAATATGAGAATGCGTACACGTATATATTCGGGTTGATATCGTAACGAGAAAAGTAGAAAACGATGAAAAACGTTTTATTTCAGATTAATCCAAAACCATCGTCATGTCAGATGAAATTAAAGAGCTACGGTAATA